TAACATTTATATATCTCAACCGTACAATTGCGCCCATCAAACCCGCAATTAGTTGTGGGGGGCTGGCATTTCCCCCATGTATACCTATTACTCAAATTTGTGCACCAACTATTAATGCCACTGAGGAAACAATTAAGAATTCTACCAGCTTCTTCAGTATGAAATTGATCAAACATGGAATCAAAATGTGTTGATCATTACTGGTGACTGGAATGTGAAAGTTGGAAACAAAGGGGAAAAAACAGTAGTTGGAAAATGTGGCTTTGGTGATAAAAAACGAAGCTAGTTATTATCTAGCACCAGCATGCAGAGCTTTTTAAGTGCCTTTTATTGCCCCCAGCCCCATCTCATGCTTCCTTAGACTCAGGCCAACACCCTTCCTCTCCCAAAGGCTAACTGCCCCTAGGATTTTTATACCCTTGAGGGGAGGGACAGCAGAAAGTGACCGCTCAAAGTTCTTACCATCGCATCGCGTGCAGCGGAGTCTGTTTTGTTTTGGAAATGCCTCTGACCTTGCACCTAAAGCTCTGGAAACACGGTGGTTGTTGTTAGTTACCCTTGAACTGACTCGTGGTGATCCGTCTCTACAGGTAGGCAACGTTGCCCCACCCTGTGTCATCTCCAGGATGCTGGATGTAGTTGAGCCCAGGTGGGGGGTATGTTTGTGGCTGCATCTCATTGAGGGGTCCCCTCATTTCCACCGAGCAGACATGTTGTCCTATTCTACCGATTGACAGACAACGTGTCCAAACACAGCTTTTCCATCCTCTCCCCTGAGGTTCTTCTGGTTGTACCAAGGGGCTTCAAAACATCCAAAGAGAAAAAATATGGAACTAATCAATGGTGGAATTTCCCCATGAACTTGTGGAAGCGCCTCATGCTGCTTCTCAGACGGTTAGTTCATTCTTCGGCCCATCAGGACTGCCCGAGGTGTAGACCCTGATTATTCTTCCCAACACCCCAATTTGAACCCCCGCCTTCTTCTGCCTTCCTTTGGCCTTGGCCAGCTTCCACCAATAAAAGGCGATTGACAAGGTCGCAGCTTGGGCACCTTCGCTGTCAGAGTGGCATCTCTGTTTCTCAGAACCTGAAAAAGGGCCTTCTCAGCGGATTGGCCGCACACAGTACAGTGTCTGGTTTCTTGGCTGCTGTTTGCAGGGACTTGACTGTACCACTGTTTGTTGGGAACCATTTGATTTGTGTTTGTTTTGCCCATGGTTTTCTGCTGTCATTTCCTGGCCACGGGGAACCCTTGGTGACTGACTGAGGTGACAGGGCCCTTGAAGACTGTCAACACAGAGAAGGAGTGCCGAGTGTGGGGTTTATTCGCCTTTCACTTCATTAGACGTAGCGTTTCAGACAGCCCAGACAGGAAGGACTTGGCGAAGACTGGGTTCATAGAGAACCTTGTATATTTCCACGTTCCTATCCAAGTGTATTTTTAGAACCAGCAAAAGGTGCTTTCCTCATATCGGAGCAGTGATTCTTCTTGCTTATCTTTTAAAAGGAGCACAATGTCTATATGTGGCCAGCTGTGTCCCACAAAGGAGCTCTCTGAAATCACCCTTCTAGCCTCCAGCACCATGAGATCCCATACCAAAGTCATGGCCATCACGACGATTCTGACTCAAAGTGGCCCCACAGGACAGGGCAGAACTGCCCCAGGGAGTTTCTGAGAGTATTCCTCTTTATGGGAACAGAAAGCCTCATCTTTCTCCCATGGAACAGCTGATGGGGTCAAACTGCTAACCTTGCTGTTAGCACTCCATTTCTGTTCTAAGCCCCTCAAAGGCGCCCTGACAGTGCAGTGATTAGGCATTTGAACAACAGAAGGGTTGGCTGTTTCCTGGGGAGAAAGACCTGTCCGTCCGTAAAGAGGCTGCAGGGTAAGTGATTTGACCCAAGTCTTGTCGCTGGGAAAAGGAGAACCAGGAGTCACAGCCCAGACTGTCTGACTCTGAGAACCACCCCCTACTGTTCCCAGGTTGGGGGGAGTCTCAGTCTGTCTGACTCTGAGAACACCCCCCCCACACACTGTTCCCATGTAGAGAGGCGGGTCTCAGTCTGTCTGACTCTGAGAACCACCCCCTACTGTCCCCAGGTTGGGAGAGTCTCAGTCTGTCTGACTCTGAGAACCACCCCCAC